ATTATAAGTGGCTTCGCTATGACAATTAGTCATTTTTGACTAACCCATTTTTAGAGAGTAAAGAATAATCAATTATATTAACTAACTTTTTTTTTCAAAAGTACTGGTACTCTTTACTTGTGTTTTCACGATTAGGTACTACTCGTAACCGTAACTTCTCTTTACAAATGTACTTACGAGTAAAGTACTTACGAGTCAATATTTTAAGTACTCGTACTTAAAATTTTACGAATACTTTTTTTAGTACTCGAGCCCAGCTCCGCTGGGGGCCAATTTGCGTCCTTGCCACAGGGCCCCTAACTGCCTAGTTAAGCTTTTGTAAACACCAATGAAAATAATATGATATATTATAATACAATGTTTAAATATATCTTAAATCTATATTTACTATATATAGTAAATATAGATTTAAGATATATTTATCCTTAAGATAAATAAAACTATTAAGGTACCTACCAAGGGGAATTTAGCCATGGTATAACGACCTACAAATTGTGTTAATGAATGATAAGGCAATTTAAGCATCTCAAAAAGAACATAAATGGGTCAGGAACGATAAAGCAGACAGCCGGAAAAAGAGTGGTCCCATCTCCAATCATGGTGATAGAACTTAAATATTTAACATTTAATTTTAATTTTTAAACCTAAAAATTGTCCGCTTAATAATTTTATTTAATAATATTTAATATGGCAACAGATAAGTACCAAAGAAAGTTTACCTATCTAATAGTATAATTTAGAAAATACATGAATATTTCAATATTTTTAAGTTTACAATACCAAGGCGATGATAATTTAAGCTATAATTATGAAATTTAAATGTTAAATAATAATGAAATTATGTGAGGTCTTCTGAAAAAATCGCATCTAAATAAACAATTGTTCAGGCGCATAAGGCTCTTTTTCCTTATCTAGTAATCAGCATAGGAAGTGATCCATATTTAAAAAAATCTCATGAAATTACAATGAGGAATTATAATTAATAAGCATTCTTTTTTTATTAGAACTTTTACTTCGAAACACGTAAGTAAAGTTATCTAATAGGACACAAAAAGTCTTTATATTTTATATTATACATATATCAGTATGTCTTTTTAAAACAATAAAGTTGTACAAATGAGAGTTATAACTAGGCCAGGAAAATTATATTTCTTGCTCTGGGACTAAGAATCTGTTAGACCCATATGCATGTACTGGCTAAAGGCAGTGAACAGGCTTTTTCCCCACATCGCGATGCATCAATGGAAACAAGACGCAGAAATGCGTCAAGATTTCGCTAATATGGAGAGATAGCCTGTATCGAACACGAAGAGGAAAATTCTTTTCATGAAAATGTGGTTAGAAACAAAGAAAATACTCCAGACCAAAATAATTCCTCCAACCTAAATACTTCCGAGCGGGGACTAGGTACCCTTCAGGCTCGCAACCTCCTTAACTGCGCCGTCGTTCGAAAAACAAATGCGGATCTGAAATTAAACTTCGCAGGAAGGCCCAAATGAAGGATTTGGCTTTGGCTGGAAACATCCCGACGGGAAGACCTTCCTTCTTCCTTCAAACCCTAAGGATCACCAGGCTAGAGCTACGGCTCGTCGCACGATGAATCTACAAAGGGTGAACTTCGATTCAGAATGGACGTCCACTTCTGAATTGGAGTTCATTAAGAATTATTTGCAACACAGTCGTGAGGCTACTGATCTTCTAAGCCACTAACTCGGCAGTACGCAATATAAAATCTAATACAGGTTTCATGGATTGTACAATACAGAATTGCTGGTCTCTGCAAAAATTCTACCTCTATAACAAGTCTACAGAATGCCAACATAATTCATCCAGAACCTGCATATTGGCTCCCAGGATACTCAACTCCATTTTTCACTTACAATTTGGCACCCATGTTGATACTTTTTATTTATCTTCGTTATTTATCCCAATTTCAATCTAATTTTAAGTAACGTTACTAGATAGTACTAGATACATTTATTTACTAATCTACTGAAGAAAATCTACTAAACATCCCAGCAAACATGCTGTCGTTATATTGACGTCTATTTTTCGTGACTATTCGTCAGTGACGTCACTTGACCTATCATCGACGTATTATTCACGGCACATTTGAAACTTATAAACGACGCCATGTAATGTACCTATTATAAACGTATTATTGACGTCATATTTAAAACTTATTAACGACGTCATGTAACCTACCTATTATTAACCTATTATTGACGTCACATTAGAAACGTAAACACGACAGCATGTATAAAATTTGTTCGCATTTTTGACATGGTTGTAATTATTATATAGGTATATATTATTATAAATTACATTATTATAATTTAAAATTGATTCGGCCCCGCACAGGCACCATATTTAAAAAAAATCGGCGATTTTAACGATATCTTGTTTGTATCGTTTATACATTTTTCGTATAAAAACAGCCCACCTCCATTATACCTAGTGTAATTGGTGGCGTACGTCAAAGCTTTGACGTACGCCACCTAGGTGGCGTATGCCTACCGTGCGTGCCAAAAGCTTTCCTAGGATCTTCGGAAATCTTCCAACACCAGGTTCAAAGTTTGTTAAAAAAACAGCTTATTTATCTGTCTGTGAATTCACACGTTATATAGATCATTGTGTTGTGAGGCATATGTTCTGTGAGGTATAGAAGAATAGATAACCAAGAAGAGCACGTGCAGGCTGTATCTAGGGTTGCCAACTTTCGGTTATTGAAATAAAGGACAAATTGGGATTTTTTTTGGGTGCCACGTCTACTTTAAAGCTTTTTCGATTTTTTTTTCGGACGTAGATGTCTGTGACTTTGGGACATCATCACTTGCATCGACGACTTTATCACCATTCATGATGATTTGATTGATGATGTTTAGAAAAAACCTGCAAATAAATAATGATTTGGCATTTAGGCAACTACTTGTTTAAAATAGATAATGCTACATTTTATGAATCTGTTTAATTTAATTTTCCAATTAAAGTTTAAAAATATATTGCGACAAAAAACTGAAATCTAATAATATAATTTTAATATTGTATTTTCCACTTACCGTTTCCTGTTAAAAAGTTGTAAAATAAGGTTAAAAAAAACACCTTACACACAGGGACTAGTCGACTACACACAAGGGCTCAACACAACGAGGAACAAAATAAAAATACAAGGTATGCTGGATAAATTGGAGGTCGGGGATTTACCAAAATATTTCAAATGTTGCCAATTTTACATTTTATGGTAGGTATTTGTATGGGCTTTTTTTGAAATAACTGTGGATTTATCTGTATTTCCGGACTTTAAAGGACATTTGCCGTCCTTTGACACCTTTCAAAAGGACAAAGAACAAATTACAAATATCACTTTGAATTAAAAATTGACTTTAATTTTAGTGACACTTTGATATTTTTAATTCCACATTATTTTTGAGTATAAAATTAGTTGAGTTATAAATATTGTTTAAAATAATCGATACAATTAAAAATATGACTAGCAGTTGGAGTTGCAACAAAAATTCCTGATTAAAAAATACAACGGCGTTCCATATGTACCCCAGAATCAGACCATATTAAGTCCAAAATTTAAATTACAACATAAAGAATTTAAAAGTCATGTTTAAAATATTAATATATTTTATTTTAAAAATATTTCATATTATTCTTAAATTATAATTATGATACTTTAAAAGTAATATAAAATAATAAAATCTATAAATAAACATAAGTTTTAAAATCTGCATGTTGTAATTTAAATTTTGGAGTTAATATAGTCTGGCTCTGAAGTACAGATATATTTATTGTTTTTTGAAAGAATTTGGTCTTTATTTTTTATACATTGTTTATTTAATTTTGTTTTTATTTTTTATACGTTATTTCTGAAAATAAACCGCATTATATCTGAATTTGCAATTATTATTTCATCACCCCTAAACAACGTATTTAGAACGTCATCAGTACGTCAATTATAACCCTAAAAAGATGTCTTGGAAAGTCGTCTGACTGACGTCATATTGTTAAGTGAATGTCACGTTCCTAGCGAAACGTATTAAATACGTCTTTAGATGACGTCTCATAGATGTGACATTTTGACGTCGCTCGTTCGTCATTATAACGTAATTAATGACGTCTCTAAGGTCATTTTAGTGACCAAAATTTGACGTCAATATAACGGCAGCGTGTTTGCTGGGATATTGTATGATTCCATCTATTTTTGTTGTCTCGACCTTTTATTTTTATTTTAAAATTTTGGATGAAAGGGAAGCAAAAAATAGTTTGTGTCTACAAGTATCTAGATACTTGTTTAAGGTAACTGTATCTGTAACTAGTTAGTACAGACGGATACAGATACACATTTTACTGGCCCAGAATATTTGGATAACATTAAGGTCCCGTAGTGCTGTAACAGTTACATACCAAAATTTGTAACTAGATACAGGTACAGATACATATTTTAATCTCATCTAATCTCATCTCGTCAGTTGGTCCAAGATTCAGGACGAGCATATGAACATCGCGCTAAAACTTAGTCAGTGAGGAGGAGATCCTTTGGAATATCGTGCCTCAAATGAGGCCTTAAAGTGGTAAGAACAATCATTTTACTCCTCTTTTGTAAAAAATAAACCTTATTCTATCAAGGCTGTTATTAAACTGTCAAATGTCAATTTTAAGGTTATTTTATAACCCACAAATTAACCTTCAAATTGACATTTGACAGCCCTGATAGAATAAGGTTTATTTTTTACAAAAGAGGAGTAAAATGATTGTTCTTACCACTTTGAGGTCTCTTTTAAGGCTTGCAAGTCTCTCTGTAAGAAACTACATTCACAAAACTTTATCACATAAATTTTTTATATTGTTTGAATGTAGATTTTAAAATCTACATTCAAACAATATAAAAATCTACATTGTCAACCAACGGAAATATTTATGTAATTCTACCAGGGAACATAACCCTATTAGTAATAGGCTATTACCCCTAAAGCTCTGGGGTGCATATATATATTTTATATTACACGTCCCCTTTATTGGAACGCCTTAATGTTACGAAGCCATAACTTATTTGTTGTTTGGAAAGGTTAATATAATAAGATAAACATTAATATAATATTTTTATTGTCAACATTGAGGTTTGTATGATAACATTGTAATAAAATTAATACTTAAAATAGTTAATTATAGAATAAACAAAAATGGTAAGTGCGAATTTATAAATTTAATCTCTTAACTGACTATTGTATAATATTTGAAAGGAAATATTATCATTTTGCGATAGAAAATTTAAAATTTCATATTTATCTTTTTCAAGAAAAACATCAACGAATTGCAAAATTAAAATATCTATAGCAATACTGGTTTTAAATTTAAGTAAGTACTTTACAAATTGTATACGAAAATTATCTGACAAAAGAATATTGTTGATGTATTTGACGTGAGCAGCTAATTTAAAAATTATCAAAGGACCATAGATAGTGTAACTTTCTTCCACAAATTTTATAACATTTTTAGCGTACGACTCAAGATTTTCTGAGTTCTCTTTATACATTTTAATTTGTTTTAGTATAGCATATTGTTTAAATGCTTCGACTGGTGTAAACATTGATTCCCAAAACTCGCAAAATTTTACAATCAAACTTGAAGTGAAAAAAATACTGTTTACATTTCCAGTAAACTCATCAAAGAATAATTGAATATTTTTGTCAGTTGTATTATGCCAATGGTTTGTTTTATAATTTGAAACAATATTAAAAACTAAAGAAAACGGATCAACTCTTTTTTCATATACCAAAAACATAACGACAAACTGCAATATGCCGTTGTTTGACATAAGAGCACTCTCTTTATTTAAAAATGTTTCCATTATAATTTTCTGTGAGAGTTCTATAGGAATTTCCTCAATTACCCGCTGGTCAGCCAGAGATAAAATTTCGTTCATATACTTTTCAGGTGTGATGATAACTTTTTGGTTGGCATAAAAATATTCCCAAGCCCATTGCCAAATTATTGGTTTGCATTTTTTTGGAACTTTGCATTGGCTTAAATTTGTAAGAGACTCGTCATCGAACTTGTCTATGAAATTAATAAATGTTTTAACCAAATTCAATGTTTCCTCGCATGGATTTAGAATAAAATACTTCATTGTACAAGTGTACAAGTGTTTTTGAATTGAAATGTTCTTTTCTTCGGATCCAAATTTTTTCAATTTTTCTATAACGACTTTCTTTTCTAAAATATCTCTGGCTAAGAACAGCGAATGTTTTCTTACGCTTACAGCTTTTGTACCAAGGGTTTCAATGGCCGCATATATTTGATTTTCAGGCACCTTTCGGGAAGCGCTGTAAAGCGGTCCCAAGATAGCCTTTAAATAATCGCCTATGGCAAATTTAGTAATTGTATCTAATACAGCGGATTTACGATGAACATTTTTTAAACTCTCAGCAATACAACACTGCAAATTATACAGATCTCTTGCCTCTTTATCTTCCAAATCTACTTTTTCCGATTTGGGTAAATAAGGTTCGATAAATTTTATGTATTCATCGGGGGGCAACATTTTTACCAAAGGAATTACGTATTTAATCTTATCTTGTGCTTTTTGCTCGCTTCCGAATTGCTGCTTTAGAAATTCAACAGTTTTAATATCCAAATTTAAGTGGCTATATTTATTTAACGTGTACCAACTGTCAAAACCCTTTGTTGGAATATAAAGCAAAATGTTATCAAAATGTTTTGCAAATTCTGCGATTTCAAAATTAAAAAACCAATCAACAATATAATTGTTATAACTGTTTTCACCGAAATCTTCAAAGTACAAATCCTTAACGACATTTTCATACGGTTTTCTGTTTTTCTTGCATATCATTTTTTCTATACATTTTATCAAATCCCACGAAGCATCGCTTGTTTTAAAATTCTGAATTGCGTTGACGAGTCTAGGCAATGCCCATATATCGATTTCCATTTCAGGGAATTTTTTATTAAACTCAAAAAAATTTAAAAATAGTCTGGCGTCTTCTAAAACATAATCTTCTTTCTTCTGAATGGGAATCTGTTTAAAAAGTTCTAGCAAAGCTATTTTCAAAACTTCTCCGACTTTTTGATCGACAATATTGAAATAACAACCATCTTCTATTGTTTCTTCGACGAATGCGTCTAAAACTTCTTTGTACGGTTTTCCGTTCTTATAAAGAAATTCCAAGTAAGAATATAGAATGTCGTTACTTTCATATTCATTCTTCATTTTGTGGATTTTCTTTAAATCCATAAGACAGGTGAAGTGCTTATCATTGAAATCTTCATATTTGAAGCACCTACGATAAAATATTAATAATTAATTTAATTTAATAATATTATACCTATTAGTATTCATATGAAAAACACTTGATTTTTGCATTCTTAATGCATTTTTCTACTAAATAACTAACAATAATCACATAATGAACATGTAGGTGGTATTATTATAAAAACTATATCTGTACCTACCTCAGAGCCAAATTGTATTAAATTCACTTTTTTAAATCGCGTTACATATTCTTTGCCTACATTTTTCCGTTCTTTACAATAGTAAACGAGATTAAGTGATTTTAAAAAAGTAGACTAATACAGTTTTGCTCTGAAGTAGATATGGAGTAACCCATTAATTACGAGAAACAGGAACTCACTTGTAAAAGCGATTTAAAAATAAAAATCCGTTTATGCAAACCAATTTAATTATAAAATTAAAGTAAAAATTATTAAAACAAATTTTATACAGAACAAATAAAAAAAAATGTCAATTTCTCTGAAAATAAACTTTACGGTAAATTAGAATTTAAGTGGAAATAAAAGGTTTTTGTTATTTTAATAATCAGTGTTGCCACCTCTAGCTCTAGGCCAGCTTTTTATTAGTTATTAATTTCTTAAGAACATTTTTACACTCCTATAACTGCTTCTTTGTAAACTTATCCCACAAGATCTAAATTGAATTCAACGCACCATTAAACAGTTGTGTCATAAATACAAAATGGTTTCCGTCCCCATATTTAAAAAAATAAATAACAGACATGTATTGCCTTGTAAAAATAATATAAAGGATCCATTGCAAGAACATCCCCACATAATTGTCACGAGTGACTCATGGACTTGCGCAGTCTGACTGCTTACGGACTAAATGCAAATTTCTAGCTGAATACCTACTTTCTAGAGGTATTCCCTTTAGCGGTAAAAACAACAAATTTACGTCAAATATTTTAAGATTAGAACATTAACGGACAGAAGCTGTAGTGACCCTGTTGTAAATGACCGATTAATTCCTGTACAAACCAACTGAAGTATTGGTTGGTATCAATGGGTCTGAATTGGACTTACTGGATTTAATTGAGCGCGATATTAAACAGAAATTGGTTTTTACTGGTATTTTCCATTATGGAAAAGTCCAATTAGGATTCTAATGTTTTTTATTGGTTTCGATTGGATAAAGCTACCCATGGGTAATTTCCAATTAAGTTCAATTGGGCATTTCCAGTGTAAGATTCCAAAAAGGAATCTTCCAGTGTAAGATTCCAAAAAGGAATCTGCTAATTGGTTATTCCCTATACATTGTATAGTATACAATACAAATATCGCAAGAGGGCTCTCGTGTAGCTGCGCAAAACCAACGAGGTTGAGACGCCATCATAAAGAAAAAACAACACAAACAAGTCTTTGGACGCCATTTATTAGCGGTTTTTTTATTAGTCGATTTCTGTGTTAAGTGCCTGGTGATAGTAGTGTACTTATATCTTTAAAAAATGTTTATATGTGTAAGGTTTAGGGATAATGGCGTGAGAATGGTGGTTACATGTAATGAATTGGTATTGTATACAGCGGACAAAATAAAAAAAAATGACAAATAATATTGATTTCGACCATGCCTATAAACATCCTGTGGAAGAAAGACAAAAAATGATTATAACCGAGTAATTTTATTTATTTTTTATTACTTTTTTGTATTAGTAAGTTATATGTATCAATACATATCTCACTAACACAAAAAAATAATAAAGAAATAAAGTTACCTACTCAGTTATAATAATTTTTTTGTCTCTTCTGTGAAAAATGAATTCTGGTTTTTACCAGGTTATTCTTCTGGGATCTTAATTATTTTTGAATGAAAAATCAACTGGTATTTTTATTTCCAAATTTAAAAAAAAATAAATTGGTTCAAATTGGTTTGGCGCTATGAATTACCAATTCATTCCATGTGCATTTCTATTGGGTTTAGCCAATAGGAATGCAACTGGAATGAATTGGTGATTCATAGCGCCAAAACACATTTCAAACCAATTACTTATTTTTTATTGGATTCTTTTGGTCATTTACAATGGTACAATGTGGGAGTGCAACGTATTAGATGAATGAGGCACTCTTTACAATAAGTGCTGAAAGATGCAATATTTGAGGTAGAGAAAATAGATGACATGATTAAAAAGTCGAGATCTATTATTGTCTACTCAACATCAGGGCACAAATTCCTTACAGAAATGCAAAAAAAAACATTCTTTGTCACGTGCTTATCCAGGATGTCAGTACTCGATAGGATTCTACACTTCAAGCGTTTAATAATAATAATAATAATAATAAACTTTATTAACGGTAAAAGAAAACCATAAAATACAATAATAAGAATAACAATTGTTATAGGTTTAAGTCACATATTCAGCAGTAATACTATAAGTACTAAACACTAATTAGTGTTTAGTACTTATAGTATTACTGCTGAATATGTGACTAAAACCTTAAAATTATAATTTTTAGCCTAAGTTGTTTCTTGAATTGAACTAAGTTCAAAGAAAAAAAATTTAGTTCAAATTTGTTCGCCAATCTGCACCCCCTATCGATCGGAGAATAGTAACCATAATTAGTTCTATGCATATTAATGAAGAATAATGGGGTATGTCTAGTTTGTGCCACAGACAAACGAATGCTATACAGCAATTCTGAGCTGTTTATAAGGTTATTGAGTATTTTATAAATGAATAGAATATCAAACTCCTGTCTCCTAATCGATAGTGGTTGCAGACCTACCAACAGTCTCAGTTCTCTATAATTAATATTTTCAACTCTTATGTTGAGTTTAAATGCACATAGGCGAAGAAACCTATCTTGGACACGTTCTAAGGCAGTTACATAAGCATTATAGTGCGGTGACCACACTACAAAGTTAAACTCTAAAATTGAACGTATATATGAAATAAAAATATTTTTAAAGCAATTAATATCGTAAAAGTCCTGAAGTTGTCGTCTGACAAAGCCTAAAATACGATAAGACTTATTAATAATTAAGTTAACATGATCACTAAACGTAAGCCTATTATCAAACAGCACTCCAAGATCTTTAATTGAGTTCACAACCTCTAAAACATTGTTATCAATAGAATAGCAAAAAAACAATGGATTTTTGTTTCTATAAAAATTAATAACCTTGCATTTTTTAATATTAAGTTCCATACAATTCAACTCGCACCATGAATTTAGACTGTTCAAGTCAGACTGCAACTTACAACAATCATTAAGTGATTTAATTTCAAAAAAAATTTCAAATCATCCGCAAATAGAAGGCATTTGCAAAACTTTAAATTTAAATTAATATCATTAATAAAACAGTTGAATAATAGAGGTGATAAATGGCCACCTTGAGGAACTCCAGAGGAGTTGCAGCGAGTTGCAATTCAAGCTTCTTTGCCATACGTAAAGTGTAGAACTAAACTGGCTACAGAAGAGTGAATATTGCTGGAACAAGTTGCGTCATTCTTGATTTATTTTGAAGAAGCTACAAAATCTATGTGGAGTCTGCTTGCTTGTCCGATGCTATACCTTCGATTAACAGTTTGCGAAAAGATTTAAAACGGATCAAGAATTAAAAGATCGCGGACGATATGTCGCAACAGTGACAATTATAACCAAGAATTTTCAGTATTTGTGGAAAATTTGACTGCCTGAATCAATTACAGATTTTGTTATTTGGATGGTATAGTCATTTATCTTAGCAACAACATTGGATACGCGCTACAAATTGCGTACATTTGTTCTACAATCTATAGGTATCCGTAACCAATCTTTTTAATTTTGTTAATTATGCAACTCAGTTCCTGGACAAAGGTTTACCAGTACACAATATTTACACATACTTCAAAAAAAATTCAATGTTGTGGATCATTAGATTTTGTTGGAAAGTTGTGCCGCTATGGCGTCAGACCACCGTTTAGTTCTTGGCTTCAAATATATCTGTCTGGTAGGAATTGATGTGTGAGGTTAAGGAGTCACGAGTCTGGTGCTAGAATGGTCTCAAATGGGGTCTCATTTAAGTCCCATATTATTTAATATTTTCTTAAATGATATTGGGGTAGAATTCGACGCTAGTTATGTAATGTTTGCCAATGACATAAATTTGTTTAGAGCTATCAGTGGTTTTAGTGATATTCGGATGATTCGAGTGACAAGGCGAATATGCTCTTTTTAAATCACAATAAATGTCAGTTGATATTTTTTTTAAGAAGTAATAACCATTAACGAACTGATAATCATTTTGAGCAGTGTTAAATCCGTTAGGGATTTGGGAGTAGTGCTGGACTCGAAAATTCAATTTTTTTGAGTTTATGGGTTTCATAATAAGATTGTGTCGCAATTTTGCGAATGTTAGATCTTTTGAGAATTTATTCTTATCTGGTCAGATTAAAGTTGGAATATACTTCAATTATTTGGTCTTCCTGTTACAATGTTAGTATTAATAGACTTGAGTCAATTCAGAACAAATTTGCAAGGTTAATTAGAAATGTTTTTTTCACCAGGCATATTGTCAAGCTTGATTTTTAAAGTAAGTAGTAGAAATCTCAGAACAGTTCCGATTGTTACCTGAATATAGAACAGTTTATGCTGCTAACTCTCCCTTAATTCGTGTTTGCATGTCTGTTAAAATTTTGTGATAATGATTATTTTGTTATAACGTACCTGCAATTAGAAACCAACTATAAATTTGTATGTGATACGTAAGTACAATATTGAGTTATAAGGGATAAAAGATCATTTTCATTGTTAAAAACAATAAAAAATTATCTGTTGTCCTTTATTACTGAATATTGCGAATAAGGGGGTTTGGCTTAGCACGGCAGTATTGTAAACTGGTAAATTCGGCATTGGACTCCGGTCATGTTTAGTGATGAGTCATGGTTTGTTATGTCAGGTAATAACGGTCCTAAAAGAGTATGGAGAAGAACTGGTGAATGTTTTATGCCAAATATAGTGCAATAAACCGTTCCTTTTGAAGGAGGATCCATAATGGTGTTGGGCAGGATATCCATAAACCTCGCACGGACCTATACCATAAATGGGTGTCTAACAGCTCACAGGTACTTTACCCTGATCTCACAAGCGAATGCTAATGGTAACAATTTTATTTTCATGCAAGATAATGCCGGAACCCATACCGCCGGAATCGTCACTAAATATTTTGTTGATAAAAATATTTATAAAATGCGTTCAGTCCAGAAATGATTCCGACTAAACATGTTTGGGATCACTTAAAAAGACTTCTTAGGAAACGTCGAAATCCTCCATTTACAACCGGAGAGTTGGCACAGGCTCTAATTGAATAATGGAAAAATATTCCACAGGAATTCGTAGCTTGCCACGACGCGTCGCTGCGCAGCTCTTGTGCAGGCAAGAGAAGGCAACACTAGGTAATAAGTTAAAAACTGTTTAAGATTAGCCAAGTTAAGACACCTTTATTTTTCTTATTTGATATAACTCGATTTATTTTAAGACATATTAGTGCCTACTTAAAATTTAATTGTAACTTGTTTTCTGTTTACTTGTGTGCCGTAATGAAATAAACTAAGAATGGTTCAATAAATATTTTAAATTTGGTTTAAAAACACATGATAGAAAAAAATAAATTCTAAAAAGTGACTACTTTTATTTTATGAGTCAAGATATTTTTAGTTTTTTTTTATAATTTACACAACCGCGTGGTATGGTTTCCCACCTGTATATATTGAAAAAAATGTTAACACTTACCGTAACACGGTGTTCAAAAATGATTTACGCGTATTGTAGTCATCATTCCGATGCCTTTTACAAAAATATGTCATAACTTCTTCTAGGGCATTTAAATCTTTATGGAATTTGCAAAACAAAACCATAAGGTCGATAAGCTTGGATCTATCGCTAATACTACTGGTTAAGTTAATTTTTTCCTTCAACATTGGTATGCTTATGTTAATAGGCAAGTGCTTCAAATAACTGTTGTTGTTGGACTTTTGGTAATTAATCATGGCGAATTTTGCGGCTCCCTCGGGGTCTACCAAAAACAAATAATCGAGGATATCTTTATTCTCCATCCAAACCGAGTTGGATTTCATATCGCTTTTGATTAATATTTTATATGTATCTGCTATTAGCGTAAACTTAATATTTACAGGCACAAATTTTAGGTAATTAATGCACGATACTTGGTTTGGAAAGTTACTGAGCCTTTTTGAACATACATTTAAAAAATAAGTTCTAAAATCCTTGTGCAATTTTCTCGGAATCACACTTTTCTTTAAAATTTCATATTTTTCTGGATGATTAATAACATCTTGCCTGTTTAGATCAATAATTCTTTTCGTTGTCCTGACGCCAACATGCCCTTCATATATATTGTCATATTTCCTTATCAATTTAAGGAAAAACTCTAAATTATGCAAAGCTACATATTTTAAAAACTTATTTTTATTCTTGATCCCATGTCCAAATTTGTCAAAATAATTAATAACCAATTCAGGATCTTTTTTTAAAAATAATTGCAAATGTCCAGCATGCAATTTTAATTCTTCCATTTCAATGGTTTTCTTAATAGTGGCAACGCTGCAAAATGGCAAAAAATTCAACGCCAGGAAAAGTCCGTACCGGTCCAAAACAGCCTTGAAAAGTGCATCAGATTGTTCTTCTGAACTTATATGGAACAACTTTTTTAGTGTTTTCATCCTCACTGAATAAGACATTTCTAAAATAATTACAATTTAAATTAAATTAATTAGTTAGTTAAGGTTGAGTGCAGTGGCGGCTGGTGGATTTTGGACACACCCATATCTCAGTTATTAGACATGGGACCTACACCAAAATTATATATATATAGTAAATTAAAAAGAGCACCACTTTAATTTGAATTATTTTAATTAAGGGGGGCAGGGGTGGGGGAAACTAGCTGAGAAACAAACTTTTTTCACAAACATTAATTTAAATTCTGCTTGCGCAGATCTTATCTATTTAATGTCATTATAAACTCATATAATTTTGGTGTGGGTCCCATGTCTAATAACTGAGATATGGGTATACCCAAAATTCACCAGCCGCCACTGGTTGAGTGTTGGGTTACTTAAAATAAAAATTGGGAAAATCACTCAGTTTTATGAATTTTAACCAAATGACTGAAGTTAAACATCTAATATTTATTTTAAAGTTTCAGGATTTAAAGATTGATGCTAAATAAAAATTGGGAAAATCACTCAGTTTTATGAATTATCACCAAATGACTGAAGCTAAACATCTAATATTTATTTTAAAGTTTCAGGATTTAAAGATCGATGCTTAGGAAAAAAACTTACCATAATATTTTTTATTTAAACACCCTGAGAAAGTACAAGTAAAAATTACCAAATCAAAGTGTAAGAAATCAATCTACAACCTATTTCATGCTATCAATCTATCTGTGAAAAAGCTTGTTTTAATTATAATAATAATTATAAACGAAACACCTTTTTTTATTTATACGTAAAATTGTACTAATTATATGTACCAATGTATTCATTTTTTTGTGCAAGTAGGCGTTTTTGTTTAGATATAAAAAGTAACTTTTTTACTACATGTATAGTAAATATGTATGTATAATATGTATATTATACATATTATACATACATCTATCTAGATACTGGATCTAGAAACATATTATGTACCTAGATACGTATCGAGATACTTAACAAAATCAGGATTTACTTTAGTATTTCTTTTGAAAGTATCTAGAACCTTATACAAGATACATTTTATTTTACCCAACCTAATTGCAACCCCTCACGGAACATGTACATCCAATGGATATACTCTATGGATATCCAGGATATACATAGGATATCCTGGATATCCAATGGAGTACATACTCATGTTACAGACACAGAGTATGCGCGCCAAAGTACAACATTTTGCGCATCCGTAAATCCGTAAGTACCACCTCGAGGTGGATCCTGAATTTAGTCCTCATCACAGAACAAACCATGAATCATGATACAAACCATGGAGCCCATGGGCTCCATGCACACAATGAGTATGTATACATATATGTATACAAAAATCTTTCTGAGATAAGAGGGCTCTAGTTTTTCGTTGATTTGTACCAAAACGCTACCAAACGCTACCAAAACAGCATCGACAATCAGCGCCGCTGGTAGTAAAAAAAGAAGACCTAATTTGTAAAATTTAGTGGGCAGGTTTTGTTAATTTTTGAATATATGCATTAGAATATTCAAATAATCGAGTTTTTAAATATTCGAATATTAAAATATTTTAATAATAAACGTTTATTCATTGGCTCCACCAAAAGCCTCTGACCGAAGTCCTTCTGCCTGTGTAGAAAAACGAAAAAAAAAATGTATAAGAAGTATGTCAGTTAAATGTTAAAAAAAGATATTAGCTGTAGTTCAGCTTTCGTTTTCTTTTAATTCTTGCATGTTTCCTAGAATTGTCTTGTTGCGTAGGTGTGGATCCAGTACGGTGCACATAGGGCTAATTATTGTCATGGTGTTATCATCTTTGGCAAATTGTTTGGTCAGGTTTTTAATTCTCTGATTGATTCTCTCTGTTTTTGTTGTTTCGTATAGGAACTCATTGCTGGGGTTGTGTAATGGGTTGTTTGGGTGTCTCATGCGGGTAATCGCGCGCAGAGTTGAACTTTCCGCTATTTCGATGTTTTTTCTAGCTGTTCTGGTTAAGGTTGTATATATTGGGTGACAGTATTTCAGTATGGGTCTGCAGATTGTTTTATATATGTGTGATGCGGTTTTAGTGTTTATTCCTTGGTTTTCATATGTCAGTTGGGATTTTGTGAGACAGTGATCACTTCTTAGTGTCAGGAAGGTAGTGATGTGTCTTCTATCAAGAGAGTTGATTGAGATCCAAGGCTTTTGAAGTTCTGGTGTATGTGTGGAGTAGAATCTGCCTGATTGCGTTAGGTTTTCCTTAAATGTGTTTTTCCATCTCTTGTGTATGTCGTGTTTTATAAGTTTTATGAGATCTTCATAGGGTGATCTTGTTTCTGTTAGGTCTTCCAACTTGCATCCTTTGCTGGCTAGGTTGTCCGCTATTTTGTTGCCGGGGATGTTCGTGTGGCTGGGGACCCAGCAGAATTCTACTTTGGCTCCCCGTACTTCTAGATTGTGTAAGGTGGTCTTAGCTTCAAATGTGAGAGAGTCTTTTTTTGCGGTGTTGTTGGTGTTACATATTTTTTGAAGTGCTGCCTGGGAGTCTGAGAGGATAATGAAGTGTCTTCTTCCGGATTGAATATGGCTGTTTGTAGCGTGTAACAGAGCTTGAGCAATTGCGAAGCATTCTGCTGTCACTATGGAGGCATGGTTTGGGAGTCTGGCGGAGTATTTTAGTTGATTGGAAGGGCTATAAACTCCTAACCCAACTCCGACTTGGCTGACTGAGCCGTCCGTGTAGTAGGCTTCCCAGCCTTTCCATTTGTTTTGAAAGTAGTGCAGAAAAGCCTGTTTATTGTCAGTTTGTTTTTGGAGAGCGGGAACGTGGATCTTTCTTGTAACGTTGATGGAATCGAAGTTTGTATTGAAGCAGGGAAGGAGGGGGAAAGTTTTTATCGAGACGGTTTTGTTGAGAAAAAAGTCCAATGCGTAGATTATAGGGGGAGGAGATTTGTTTGCCCAGTATATTCCGTCGTCATAGTAGTCCGAGTAGACGCCTATAAATTTTCCTTTGACTGGGTGGTTTTCCAAGGAGAACAGTCTGCCTACATACTTGGAAGCCAGCCATTCCCTTCTTAGGTGGAGTGGTTGTTCCCCGATTTCCGCTAGTAATACATTAACTGGGGTAGTTTTCATGTATCCTCCTATAATTCTTAATGCTTGGTGTTGGATTTTTGATAGTTTTAAAATGTGGGTCTTGGGTACTCGAGAGAAGAGGGGACTGCAAAAATCCAGGAACGGCCTTATACATGCTTTGTAAATCAGAAGTAGAGTTCGGGGGTCCGCCCCCCATTTTGTACCACATAAACTTCTTAAAATGTTTAGCCTCTTGGACGCCTTAATGCATGCGTGGTCTATATGTTCTTTCCAGCTTAGCGAGTAGTCTAATGTGGCACCCAAATATTTTATAGAATCTGCCCAAGGGATTATTTGACCGGTTGTATGTACGAGCCCTGTCTCAGTGAAGTTGGCCCAACCACTCAAAATATAAAATTTGTAATTTTATGCGATGAAAAGCCAACAATTTTTTATCATATGTAATTCTTGGTCAATCTTCATGTTGTAAAATTTTTTTAAAATATGTTTATGTATATTATTTAGTTTTAAGTTGGAGTTTGGTTACAATACAAAAAAAATCGACAAAAATGCATTAACTTGGATGGCCAGATTTTTTAATGCAAGTCGGCTGTGCTAAAAGTAAAGATAATATTTGACATTTAAATAATTGTAAGCAAGTCGGGAGTGACATTCCAGTATATATTTATGCTTTCGGTGTGGTTGACAAATATTAATGTCCCGAGGAAAAGCTTTCTGAAGAAATAAGAAAAGTGATCATTCACTTGCATTTAAAAAGAAAATCAGCTGCACAAATCGCTGAAACTGTTAATTTGTCACGATATACAGTGCGAAATATTATTAAACTGCACAAAACTACAGGATCTGTGGCGCAAAAACCAAAAAATGGAAGTCGTCCTCACTATTCTGATAAAAATTTAACGGCTTTAAGAAGAATTATCGTTCAAAATCGTAGGGCTAATTACGGTGAATTAAAAGTTTTGTGGAGTCAGGCAACGAGTAAATGTTTTTCAAGAGCAACCTGTCATAGAGCTGCTCAAAAACTTGGGTTTAAAACTTACAAGGTTTGCTTATAACGTATACGATTTTTATTTATTTTTAATTTTACTATCTGTAGGCAAAGGAAAAACCTTTATTGACAAAAAAACAGAAGAAAAATAGACTTCTCTGGGCAAAAGAGCACAGGAATTGGTGTCAAAATCAATGGGATTCAATTATATGGAGTGACGAAGCTAGATTTAAAGTTTACGTTGGTGATAATCGAAGCCGAGTCATTATAACTAAAGCAGAAGTCTTTCACAATGACTGTCTTAAGAAAAAAGTGAAGTTTCCGGCCTCTGTGATGATTTGGGGATCTATGTCAGCTAAAGGGATCGGTAAATTACACTTTGTAGAGGGCATTATGAATGCTGTTAAATATATTTACGTCCTAAAAAATAACTTAAAACCGCAAATTGAAGAAATGCGTTTAAATAATATTGAATGCATCTTATAATATTTTACTTTTAAAATGGACATCTAGTAGTCCAGATCTTTCGCCTATAGAAACTTTGTGGCATATTATGAAAAAAAAGCTTAGAGAACAGCCCGCAAGAACCGTCTTAGAGTTGCGTGCTCGCCTGCAAGAAATTTGGAATAATTTTACGCCGGATGATTGTCAAAAATTGTTGACACCATGCCGAGACGTATACAGGCAGTAATAAGCCATAAAGGAGATGTTACGTAGTGGTAGTTTCCAATTAAAATGTATTTATTTAAAATATTTTTTTTCTTAATTTTTGGTTTACGGACTATATAAGAGAATTTTAAATATTTTTTTATTTTTATACCTATAGGTAGGTACTTAAAAATACAATTTAACGGTAGAAAATTTAATAAACGTTATTTATTTAATTTAAACAATATGTTAATTTTAATTAATTACCGTATAATATTCTAAATATCTTAAAAAAACTAT